TTTATCACTTATTATGTTGGTCATCTATATATTCTTGCAATTCATTGAAGTCATTATGCTATCAGTAAATGACATTACGTCGGTGACTTTACCAATTTTACTTATTTTCCATGTATACCATGCGCATCCATGCTTCTTGTATATAATTGTTTTGAGTTTACTTCTTTTTGCAGTTTGCTGTGATTTTAATTGTTGTGAGGTGGATCCACTACTTTGTCTGTGATTGCTTGTTGTTTATCAGTTATTCTGTTGGTCATCTATATATCCTTGCAATTCATTGAGATCATTACACTGTCAGTGAATGACATTACATTGGTGACTTTACCATTTTAATTTATTTTTCATGTAATTTTTTCAAAAAAAAAATTATTTTCTATGTATGCCATGCGTATCCATGTTTTCTGTTTTTAATTGATGTAAGTTTACTTCTTTTTGCAGTTTGCTGTGATTTTAACCTGGTTAAGCCATTGAAAACAATATGTTATCCTACTACCACATTCCAAGGGGCTAGGCCTTTTTTATAGATGTGGAAACCTTATTGAGCTTCATGAATTCCCCGTGGCCTAAAGCTTGTTTTTCTTGATATGATTTTCAGATATACGCCACTTGACACAAAAGAATTGTTGGAATCTTTTACAAAGCAAACAATTGATTCATGTGAGTATAGTTTTTTGGTTAAATAACAACTCTGTAAATAAATCCAGCTTTGTAATTCTCTTTAGAAGCTCCTAATGCACATAGGAACTTGATTCTCCTTTTCTTCCTTCCGACCTTCTTCCACCTGTTGATACATGGACGGTATATGTTCCCATATCCTATGAGTATTGCTTTATTAAAAAGGTTACCTTTGCAAACAACATCCATAATTCATGAACAACCTCTTTCATGGCAATACTAAGGTATTATTCATGCGTCATAACTTAAAATAGCAAATAGACATTGATTGAGAAATTGGTTTCTGTTGTTATTTCTGCAGTTACTTATATGATCCATGAAAATGTACAAGATTAAGCAAAATAATACTCCAACGATTTTGTGTACATCCTTTTACATTTCTAACCCCAAAATTATACATCAGAAGGCAAAGTGATCCTGCTGTAATATGTTTATATGTCTTGACAAGTTCAAATGACTTGAAAGTCTGAAGTTCAAGTGTAGAAAGGGAGAAATTTCTTTCCGCATTATGAAGAGCTGTAGACAGCAATTATACATACCTTATAATTAGTTACTTTCCTTTTAGAGGAAAATTTAACAATTAATTTACAGTAACTAAGAGATCATATATAAAATCTTATAATGTCAAATCTAGCTATTAGTAACAAAAGGTACAGCTAATAATAGCTGGATTTTTTACCAAATCAAGAATTAAGAGCTGAAAACATTTTTATAATAATGAATTAAATGCTGAGAATATTTCCATATAAATTGCTGAGAATATTTTCACATTAATGCTGAGGTTATTTTAACATTAATTTTGAGGATATTACCACACTGTCTTTGAGCTGGGTTGAAAATGTTATTTGTCCCAAGCTTGAAATTAGGTCTTCGAAGCTTTTTCGATGCAAGGCTTTGGTCAGGATGTCTGCGACCTGTGACCTTGTTGGTGTGTACAGCAGTTGGATGACATTGTCTTCTACTTTTTCTTTGATGGAGCAACATGACAGAACCAGATTCTCGGTAATACTTAGAACATATTGATAGTCACAAAAAAGATTCGTAGGGTCTTCTAGGTTTTCCTAGTTCCTTGAGGTAATCTTATGATTCAGCTTTTGCACTACTTTTGGAGACCACAAACTGTTTCTTGCTTCTCCAAATGACTGAATTTCGCCATACATAGGAACAATAATTAGACGTTTTTGAGATAATTTTTGTTTTTGAGATAAAACCAATGACTATACGTTATGGTCTGTGAGGAATCATATCCAGTATGCATTGCTCTAATTGGTGGATGGTTTCTATAGGGGTCTCACCCGGTTTACATCCTAAACATTCCACATTTAGTTAGCAAATATATGATATATTTTTCTGAGACACATAAATGCATTCTTTTCATCTTGCCATCTCCATTTCGAGAAAGTATATAAAATTCTTAGGCCTTTAATCTCAAATTCCTCAGTCTGAGCTTTCTTCAATTAATCAGCTATGTAAAATGACCGATGAGAATTATATCATTAACACACACTATTAGAATAGATAACTTACCATGATTTGATTTTTTTACAAATAGTGTATGGTTAGTTTGACATTGAAATGACATGGAAATAGAAGGGAAATAAGTTCCTAAATTTAATGCGGAAGCATATAATAACGTTAGAATTTACATTCTTTACACGTAAATTTGAATGCCTAATAGGGTTACGAAAATGTTCTTTTCATACCGGTTCATAAAAAAAAAACGAAATAAACATATGAAAATAGTAAATAAATGTTGTAGGGAGATTAACCTCTACTATCTTTTGATGGGATTCAGGGGATACCTACTCACAGTTCTCCTACTGGTCAGGATCTTGATCTTGATCTTGATCTTCTTAATCTGAAATGGTTAATAGGAGCGAGCTACACTACCCCAATAAGAATATCACACTACTCATTGATACGGAAACTGAAGGTTGGTAAAAAAAAAAAAACATAAAACGAGTAATGGAGTTCTTAATTTAAGTAAATTCATGTATCACAAGAAAAATCATTTATTGCATACTTATCGTTATGAGATTTTCAAAATCAACCTATAAAGATAATAACTCAAATAACATTATGATTTCTTATACAAGTGCGAAAGAAGAACAACTTTTTTTTTTTTTTTGCTTACTGGTACTTCTGGGATTCATAGGGATATCCCTTTACGCGTGAACGCAATATCTAAACTTGTCAATTATCCGGCCGTCCCCATATCTTATTCGGGATGAGTAGCAAAAATGTCATCCCTTGATATCCCGTCCGATACGAGGGTGAAACGGATCGTCCCTGTACTCTATCCGGTATGAGCGCCAAAAATATCATCCTTCGATACCCCGTCCGGTATGAGGTGACGCTAAGGTTCCCTATGTACCCAGTCTGTCCACCATCTCTCAGGATATCCAATAAGACAACCCTTTATTAATTCACATCATCAAGCAATTTTTATTTGTATATTAATTTTACATTTCACAATCAAGCGTAAATCATGCAAAAACAAGTGATATATGTATCAAGAAAACACAACTGAATCATTTAACTATTTTAATATATTATCATGTATTTAAAGTTGTATAAGTAAATAATCAGTTAAATATGACAAATAAATAACTAACTGGTTCCGACTCCATTAATGACCTTTAATTATTCCCAAAACTTTCTAAATTTCACATAATACTAGATTATTAATTTTTAAGTTTCAATTCCATAATAAGGAATAAGATGATAGATTCTTATCCGAATCGGTATACGTAACACCATACTTTCTTTCACGCCTCCTAGTTGTCCCTGGATTTTCTGAATTTTTCATGCGGAGATTAAACATGTTCCATGTACCTAAAAATACCCTAAAAACTCAACATCGGTGTTAAAAATCTCTTCCGGCCAATTTCGAGATTCTAGAAAGGCGCCGTCGCCGTGCTCCAGCGACAGCACCGCCGTCCACAGTGGCGGTTTGCCTCGGCCTGGCTCTTTTCGACCGGTTTCGGTCGGCTTTACACATATCCCTGCAAAAGAACACATTAGAAAACCTTAGTTGGCCAAAAAAATTAGAAAAATGAAACTTACCGATGGTGAGGTTTTCAAGTGCAGCGGCTCCGCCGGCTCTCCTTTGCGGTTGGGATTCCTCCTTCGATCAACCTGCAGAAAACAAAACGGTGAACACAATGGTGGAAAAATCGCACGAAACGGGAACCGGGAAGGGGCTCATCAGAGGAGATTGCGAGTTTTGGGCAGCGGTGGCCTCGTCAAGCTTTGCCCGCGGTTTTCGGCTCATTCGCCGTTTGTTCTGCTCCGATATGGTCACAAGGGTGCTCGAAATCAAATTCCGAGCGGGTAGGAGAATTTTTATCTTTTTTGGTGCTCAGAGGTGGCTTCGGTGCGGCGGCGGTCGGTGGTCGATTTCCTTCTCCGGCGGGGGACTTGCAGCTAGGGTTCGGGTTCTGTGTGATGCGAAATATTTATATCCATTATGCGTTAATTTGAGTCATCCATCGCGATCGATCTCGTCCGTCCGATCACACATAAGGAGGAAACAAATCTAGACCGTTCATCGCGTTTGATCTTGACCGTTCGATTGCGCCTAAGGGAGAAACGAATTTGAACCGTTCACCGCGTTTGATCTCGATCGTTTGATCGCGCCTAAGGGGGAAGCGGATTCGAACCGTCCACGTGCGCAAGATTGATCCTTGACCGTCCGATCGCGGGACATGCGAATCGCCAGCGTAGCTGCCCGCATGGCACTAACGTCAGTGCGTCTCGTCATGCGGCGTGCTCCTTTTCGTCGAAACTACCGACTGGCAGTCTTACGTGGCCGAACTTTCTCTAATTGCACTTTGACTCCCTGTTTTTAATTTTTTTTTCAAAAACACCCTCGAACCCAAATTTTCACCAGTTATTTTCAAAATTATTTTCAATTTTGTTCCTAACTCGTTTTTTCTCAAAAATTCAATCAAATTAAAATAAAATAAATTTTTTTAATTATTATACATATATATATTTATAATCCATAAATATCATTCCAAGCTGATTTTCGGGTTCAAGTGTTATAACTCTCTTTCCCTTGAAAGAAATTTGGTCTCTCAAATTTATTACCTTTTTGCTACTCAAACAGCTGGGGATACTAGGCCCTAAAGCTTGATTCCAGTTTCGAAGTGATCTATTCCTATGTATGGTTCTGATATAGAACCTTGATGAATGAAATTTCTCGGTTGTGAAGTACTCTACTCTTTCGGTTTACAATGTCTACCAGTACCTCCTCATAGGATAGATTTTTCTGGAGTGAAAAGGGCTCGTGGGACAAGATGTGTGAGGGGTCTGGGTTGTACTTGCGTAGCATAGATGCGTGAAATATATTATGAATCCTAGATAGCTCTGGAAGTAGTGTCAGTCTGTAGGCAGTCGTATCAATCCGGTCTAAGATTTTAAATGGTCCAATGAATCGAGGATTTAATTTTCTCATCTTGCCAAACTTACTGATCTCTTTGAAGGGAGTAACCTTAAGAAATACTCGGTCACCTTTCCCAAACTCCAAATCTATCCTCCGGGAGTCTGCATAATTTTTTTGCCTGCTCTGAGTTGTCTAGATATTCTTTCTAATTTTAACTATCTTGGCTGTAGTCTTACTTACAAGATTTGGGTCGAATAATTTCCTATCATCTACCTTTTTCTCAACAGATCGGCGATCTGCATGGTTGGCCATACAATACCTCGTACGGAGCCATGCTGATGCTTGTCTGGTAGCTGTTATCGTAGGTGAACTCTATCAGAGGTAGGTGATCATCCCAATGGCCCCCAAAGTCTAAAATATAAGCTCGCAGCATATCCTCTAGTGTGCGAATCGTTCTTTCTGATTGCCCACGGTTTGAGAGTAGAATGTGAACTAAACCAAAATCGAGAAGTGAACCTGGGGTCTTTGTTGGATACTATTAACACTGGAACTCCATGTAACCTAGCTATCTATCGGATATATATTTTTGCTAACT